TGTTGGGGCACCACACCCTAGCCCCAAAGTCCACCTTCAGCATTCCTGTAGACCTCGCCATTCCATTCCCTTGCTGTCCTGTTGCACCCATTAGTGTTTTGCCTTGGTGTGGTGGGATCAGATCGGGTGCAATTCCCACGCTGTGTCTCCGGTGTTGTCCCCTATAGGGCTATGGATCAGTGAGGGGCGTCATGTCTCATAGTGGGGCCGGCCATGTGGTCCTCTCTGTGGACTGGCATCTCTAATTGGGAACATCGTCCTCATGGCCTGGTGGGCCAGGATGTGCTCCACTCTCTCCTCCTCCCCCTTCCTCTGCACCCGTGTGCTCTGATCAGATATGTCCCTCTCCTGGAGCTGCAAATTCAATGCCGTCCTTTGAAATAAATTATTCTGGGGGGAGGGCAGGTGTCCACGTAGTAGTTGGGATTGGGGTTGGGCCCCCAGACCTCTCCACTGGTTCCCTACTCCACACCAGCATGTTGCATTAATATCTTGGAGCACTGGGTTGAAGTCTGGTCCCTCTTTCCCTGTGGAGATATAAACAATACCCTCCCCTTGGGTGGGTTAGTGCCCTGTGCCCCCGCTACCCATTTCTTTTTTATTATTTTTCCCCTTTCCCCACCTCCTTTTTGTTGTCTACCGTGTTTATCCCTGTATTTGGTCTGGTCCCTGCCACATTACCTGGTCCTCACCCCAGGGATGTTTGTATGCAGTAGCTTTTTCCCTATGCCCCTTTTGTATTTTTTTTTAAACTTACCTCAACAGACTCATGTTGTACTTGTCCTTTTGTGCTTGGCTTACTTCGCTTAGCATGATTTCCTCTATCCAGTTCTTCCCATGCAGAGATGTGCTTCATACATTCATCACTGCTTTTTAGCAATACATAGTACTCCATTGTATGTATATACCACAGCTTTTTAATCCAATCATCAGTTGATAGAAATTTAGGTTGTTTCAAACCCACAGCAGTCGTTTTACCCTGTCCTATAGGGTTACTTTGAGTCATAATTGGCTCAGTGGTAGTGGCTTTGTTCTGGTTTGGTTGGGTTGGGTTGGGTTTGGAACCAACAGTGACTTCATGGGATAGTTTTAGCTAAAGGTTTAAAAATTATTTCTGAACAATAGAATCATCTCAATGGGTCCAGGCACTCCTTAATTCCATAAGAATGTCAAGTTCTCCACGATTTTACACCTTTTGATCCAGATCCATATTTTGGGTCCTTGGGGCTACATCTGGGAAGCAGGTTAGGAGTAAAATACAGGAGGAAAAAAGGAAGCCCTTTACACAGAGGTTACAATACACACAGAGGTGAAATTGTGATGATTACTAATCTCAAGGTCAGCAGTTCAAAACCACCAAATGCTTCTCACAAGAAAGAGGAGGCTTTCTACCACAAAAAGAGTTATAGTCTCAGAAACCCACAGAAACCACTCTGTCCTGTAGGGTCCCTCTGCATCAGCATCGACTCACACTGGGTTGGGTTTGGTTTTATGATAATGGAGAGAAACCACTTGTGGATGGAGCCAGGGTTCAAACTGACTCCCAAACCTTCTCTCCAGATACACTGAGTCAGAGCCAGCTTTCTTCTATAGGTAACAAGACCCCCAGGTGATTCTTCAGAAGCTTCAGGGGAAATGATCTGGAAGATGTGGGATTTTTTCAGTATATCATCAGGGACTGAAAGGCAAACCTCAGTGAACCAGTCCAAAACCCTGGGTGGAACCTAGGGGTGGGCGAGGCAGGATGTGGGGCTGGGTCTGTAGAGCATCCTCTCTCACAGTGAACCTGATGCTGCAGGCCATGAGAAACCATGGAAACATGTACTCAGAGGGTGGTGGGACTACATCATGGCCCTGTGTGGAGGAAACCAGACTTAGGAACCCTCTAGAACAGAGGTTACAAAAGAGGAAGGGGCCGATTCCATGTGGGTCTGCTAGAGGGAGCTCCTGAGAGCCTCTCTAGAAAAGCAGCTACCACTAGGTGCCAGCAGGTGGCACCCTCCTGGAATGAACTCGGCTTTCCAGACTCGTTTTTTACTGGAGAAAGCAGAAATCCGGATTCTTCTTCCGAAATCTTCCCATTTTCACATCAGTGCAGTTAACTTGAAAGTTTTAAACTCTTACTCAGACCAGTAAGTCTCTGGGCAGGTTCCTGCAACTGGCTGTCATTGGCAACCTGTGGGCTAGGGGAGGGGTGCTGTTTGGCTATGGGTTGGCATGGCGTCAGTGAGCTTTTTGGAGTTTACATGGGCCGAGGCAGGGGTGACCAGGGCCTGGGCGCCATCCAGGAAGTGGGGAGGAGCAGAGCCATGAAAGCCCTTTAAAAGGCAGGGGATCACAGGACCAGGGTCCCTGTGGGTGCTTGGAAAGAAGAAGGCAGGGAGAGTAGATGGTTTACCAACACCCACCACACACACACACACACACACACACACACACACACATACACACACGAAATCCATTTTGCACCACGCTTACGCTTATTCTCGGCAAACATTTTCTTCATAGCCCGTGAAGTCTGGCTGAATGTGCGCAGGATGCTAATGAATTACTAGTGTCATCCTCGGGGTTATGCACCTGAGTGTAATTACACATTTGCATGTCGTGCCAAAGTGAACAGAGGTAGTTGTGGCAAGAAAACATGGCGTGACGCAGTTGTCTCAATTTGCCAGACAAATAAGGGCCCAGAGAAGGTTTGGGGAAGTACAGATTTCAGTCAAGTGTTGAAATAACCATCAATAAGACCTTTCATGTCAGGAGATCTGAGCTCTGAATCAGAGGCCTGCAGGGCAAACACACCTGCCTGGCATCCACTCTCGCCTGCTTTTACAGCCACCTTTTTAGAGAGAGCCATGTCAGGAGGGGGGCGGGCAGGGGGTGGGCAAGGGCTGCCAATGGAGTCATCTTTATGCTTGACTTGCCCGCACTGCTGGTTACTTAGAAGTTGCTCTTTGGCACAAGTTGAATTAACCCAACCACCGGGGAGCTTCCAGCATTTGTCGTTAGACCTACCTCCGGGTGCTGGGGCAAACACATCCTGAGAGACGGGCTGCAGTCGATGAAAATTTCATTCCTCAGTTGGGTGGCAATTTAATTATTGAGCACCCGCCTGTTGGACCGAAAACCGCTCTGTTGTAAAGCCTGCTGCGGGAGGTGGCGGTGGGTCCGGTGGCAGACCACAGTGGTCCAGATGTGGTTGCTGCTGCCTCTCATGACAAGCCTGTCTGTTTGGTTTGCGTGTGAAGGTCCCAGACGGACACGGAGGGGACTGTCACGGCCGAGTCCAGCTCAGCGGGCATGAGCATGGAGCCCAGCCACTACACCAAGACTGGACAGCCCGTCCTGGAAGAACTCACCGGTGAGTAGGGCATCTCCGGTGCTGGGTCTGTGGGTGGCCAGGCCGACCGAGCAGCCTGTGGGAGGGCGTGGACCAACGTGAAGTGAAGTTGCTTTCCCTTTGCATTGAGAGCTGAGAGGAACAGACTTTCCCCCATTCCTTTCTTAGCACTTTTGTTTTGTTTGTTTATTTCTCTTCCAAAGGAGTCTCTCCTCTCTCAAACTGGAAATAAGGCTCTGACCTGTCCGCACATTCCATGTTAAGAGGCTCTGGACTTAACTTTGGATCGCCTCACTGCAGATAAAGTTGAATTGCTCAGACACTGGAATGAGGGCTTCCTTTCTTTGCCAAATGGGAGCCCCGATAGAAAGTGTATTCTTGGCTACATCCTTTTACAGGAAAGGGTGCCGCATGCTGCTTTTCCCTGCCCCCACCCCAAAACCTAAATGTTCTTTTACTCGAGCCTGGACAACGATGATTACCGGGGTATTACGGAGGCTCAGGGATTAAACGCTCGGCTGCCAACCAAAAGATGGTGCTTTGAACCTATTAGTGGCTCCATGGCAGAACGAATTGGCGTCTGCTTCCGTGAAGATTGCAGCCGTGGAAACTCTCGGGGCGGCTCTCTCCTGCAGGAGCATGGAGGAGATGGGATTGACTCGGTGGCTGGGGTGTGGGTGCGCGCATGCAAACCTAAGAGGCGTGGGGGCTGTAGAATTCATTTTACAACGTTGGTGAGTGTTATACCGTCACCCGCTGAATTGAAAGAAACTTCTTCCACCTTCTGTCATCTTCCGTAACGCCCTGCCGGTGCTCAGGCATCCTCTCCTCTGGGGCGGGGCCGAAGCCACAGCCAGCCGTGGCCGCGTCCCTGCTCTCCTGCCCTCGCTGGGTTGAGAATGGATGTCAGGCCTGAGATGCGTTCATTGGTCCACCTTTCCGTGACCACGCCCTGTCATCGCAGTGTCACAGCTGCGGGATTGGTACGCAGCCCCGTGATTGAACGGGACCCACCTCGCCCTTGGCACCCAGCATCCCTGTCCCAGGGTCTGGCCCCTGTAACTCCTGCCTTCTGGCTCTGCTGCCTGGGCGCCGTTGGCGGCGCAGTGATCCCCAAAGGACTCATAAGGGACCCTTGGTACAGTGGTGAGGCACCCCCCCCCTCCCTTCCCCCAATTTGGATTGGCTGTGTTTCCTTCGTCGTCTTGAGTGATCACCTATTTGCATGTGAGCACGTGGATAGCACAGCTTGGAGGAGGAGGAGGCTGGGGAGGGGAGATCATGTCCCGGGTCTCTCCACTCTCTCCTGAGCCCTGCGCGGGCTCCAGAGCCTGGCACGTGCCCGACGCAGGGGGCTCGGTGGAAAGCACGCTGGGAAAGCGACAACGAGAGCCAGCGCCCGTTCCAATAGCGCTCGGACTAAGAGCTGCCCACAATCGTCCACGGACTGTCTGGTGCCCGCGCGTCTCCCCTGCAGCAGCTCTCGGCTCAGAACACCGGGTGCAGCCGTGATCTGGGGATGAGCCGTGCAGCCAGGGGTGCGGGCGCAGTAAGTCACAGGATGCCACTTGCGGATGAACGTGGCTTTCCCGGGGTGACTTGCCTTTTATTCAGGTAGTGAAATCCCACGTGCAGACTATAGCATGAGTTTTCTGCTTTGGGGGGGTTTTGATCTTTGTTTTTCTTAAGTGGAGAGGCTGCAGGTTGTATTTGCCCACAACTGGTTCCCTTGATTTGTCGAGGAAAGGTGGATATACGAGGGAGGCTTCACAAAGTTGTAAAAATGTAAGGAGTGGGATTTTCACATGAACTTTTTGAAGCCCCTTGGTTCTTAGCAGTGGACATGGATGCGAACACTAGCTCCAGTGACTGCCAATGGCTGGGTTTCCCCACGATGCTCCCTCCTGTTTGGCTCTGTGGCTGAGCACTGCATAGAGATTGTCACCCCAGGAACAGCTTGTCAGGAATCTCTTCTGCGCACAGATCCCTTCTGTAGCTCACGGGCTGTTCACCTCTCCCAGCCTCGGCCAGGGCGTTTCTTGTGACAGCAAGATTATTTCTTCCTAAGACCACCCTTACACTTCTCATCACTGGATACCACTCAGTCTCCTCCAACTCACAGACCGTTCCCCTTCCTGTCTGGGTGGCAGCCTGGGCCCTGAAGCTGCCCCACCTTCTTCCAGGTTCCTCCAAAGACCCTTCTTGTAACCAGTTGCTTTCGGGTTGCTCTTGGCTCGAGGCAGCTTCCCGTGACTCAGAGCAGGCCAGCGCCCCATGGAGTTTCCCATGGCTGACTTTTCAGAAGTAGATCACCAGGCCTTTCTTCCAAGGCACCTTTGGGTGGCCTCACACCACCAGCCTTTCAGTTATCAGCCGAGGTTGGTAACCAAGTGTGCCACCCAGGGAATTTGTCCTTAGGGCGTGGGTCCCTCTCAGCCGTGACCTGGGGTAGGAGTGGGGGGCCCTAGAGAGGCACCAGCAGAGATGGAATAGCGCCCTGTTTTTAAGCTCTCGTGTACGAGCTGGTGGCAGAGCCTGCCATTTCCACTGGAGCACCCGTGACTGTCCACACTATGCCCACGATGTGAGTTGGTGGGACGTGAGTTGGTGGCCTCACATTGAGGCCATCTTCCAAGGATGCAGAATTGGCGGTCCAGAATGAGGTCCCCTAAGCAAGGCAGGCAGTTGTGTGCCCGGTTTTTGATAGCATCCATGAAACCTGTGCTAGCATGAGGCTCTGAGCAAGGAAAGAGCCCCCAAGAGGGCAGGAAGGCACCCGAGTTTCCAGAGCCCCCTAGGTCATATGCCAGGCCCTGATCTGTATCAGTCATCTCCCAGTCTCTCCCTAACCCTTGGAGGGCTGGGGGAGGGTCCTTTATCCCCATCAAGATGAGCCTCGGAGAGGTCAGGTGAGGTGCCCAATGTCAAATGGCTAGGAAGCAGTAATGTCAGAATGCAAACCTTTGCCTGTCAGAAAGCAAAGTCCACCTTACTCACCCTCGCCTACTGACCACCCCCCACTTTTTTTCCCCTCTAATTTTCACCTACTTTTTAGGCAGCTACTGATTTAACATGGGTCCCCAAATGTCCACCCAAGCACCCCATCCCCCGCTCAAAGTTCTGTGAAATGTCTACAGGGGAGTTAAGATAAGTAAATGTGCCATGGAGAGACATAAATACATAGAGGCAGGAGGTTAGTTGGGGAATTTGATTTGAAAGCCTGTGCTTAGACCTCATTTCTTAATAAATGTGCATAAAAGGCCTAGAACTTTCCAACGATCGGTACCTTTTTGGCAGCTTCTCACGTGCATAAAAAGTGTGGCTAAAGAGGTGTTGAACTGATGGGCCAGGAGATAGATAGAACCGCATTCCTTCAGGGCTTCGGGAGGGAGGTAAAACCGACACTCCCCACTGCTTTTGCTGAGAAACACGCACACACGCGTGTAATTTAGAGAATTGGGTGGGAAACGCAAGCTTGACCAGTTTTCAGATAAGAGAAAAATGCCTTCCAAATGTCTCTTAGCTGAAAAGGGGAGAAAATTGAAAACATGTGCATTCTCAGGGCTAGCCAGCTTACTGTCACAAACTCCCTCCGTAAAACCGCCTGATCGTATCATTTCATGCATCTCCCAGGCTCCAGGCTCAGCCGTGCTGACAGCCACCTGGGGAAGCTGTTGTCTGTCTCAGGAAGAAGGTCTCCTGGCCCTTGCTGAGCAGCCTGCTGCCGTCTCCCCCACAGCCACTGAAAAAGCCTTTTCTTTTTTTTTTTAAATCATTGGGGGTTGGTACAATTCTCACCACAATCCATACATACATCCATTGTGTCAAGCACATACGTACATTTGTTGCCATCATCCTTCTCAAAACAAAAAGCCTTTTCTTATTGGTCTCCATGGCCTCTACTCGGGTGGACTTTGTGCACAGTGAGGGAAAATTGCCCAGTGTCATCCCCACAACTGGTTGAGAATGGGACCATTGGGACCCCCTTAGGGTTTGCTGTCTGCTAATTTTCAGAGTAGACCACCAGGTCTTTCTTTCTTTTTTTTTTTTTAATCATTTTATTAGGGGCACATACAGTTCTTATCACAATCCATACATACATCAATTGTGTAAAGCACATTTGTACATTTGTTGCCATCATCATTCTCAATACATTTGCTCTCCACTTAAGCTCCTGCATCAGCTCCTCATTTTCCCCCTCCCTCCCCGCTCCCCCTCCCTCGTGAACCCTTGATAATTTATAAATTATTATTTTGTCATATCTTACACTGTCCGACGTCTCCCTTCACCCACTTTTCTGTTGTCTGTCCCCCAGGGAGGAGGTTATATATAGATCTCTGTAATCGGTTCCCCCTTTGCAACCCACCCTCCCAGTATCACCACTCACACCACTGATCCTGAAGGGACCATCCGCCCCGGATTCCATGTGTTTCCAGTTCCTATCTGTACCAGTGTACATCCTCTGTTCTAGCCAGATTTGTAAGGTAGAATTGGGATCATGATAGTGGGGGGTTTGGGGGGGGAGCATTTAAGAACTAGAGGAACGTTATATGTTTCATTGTTGCTACACAGCACCCTGAGTGGCTGGTCTCTTCCCTGAGACCCTTCTGTAAAAGGATGTCCAATTGCCTACAAATGGGCTTTGGGTCTCCACTCCACACTCCCCCTCATTCACAATGATAAGATTTTTTTGTTCTTTGATGCCTGATAACTGATCCCTTTAGCACCTTGTGATCATGCAGGCTGGTGTCCTTCTTCCATGTGGGCTTTGTTGCTTCTGAACTAGATGGCCGCTTGTTTACCTGCAAGCCGTTAAGACCCCAGACGTGTATCTTTTGATAGCTGGGTACCATCAGCTTTCTTCACCACATTTGCTTATGCACCTGCTTTGTCTTCAGCGATTGTGTAGGGAAGGTGAGCATCATGGAATACCAGTTTAATAGAACAAAGTATTTTTGCATTGAGGGAGTACTTGAGTAGAGGCCCAATGTCCATCTGCTACCTTAATACTAAACCTCTACATATATGCACATAGATATACTTCCCCATCCTCTTATATAAATATATTTACATATGTACATGACTTTATTTAGACCTCTATATATGCCCTTTGCCTTTTAGCTCTTTCCTCTATTTCCTTTTTACTTTCCTCTTGTCCCACTATCATGTTCAGCCTTCATTTGGGTTTCAGTAATTGCTCTTGGTTACATTACCCTTGGTCACGCCTTACCAGGCCTCCGACACCTTCCTCACCACCTATTTGGATCACTTGTTGTTTCCTTTTCCCTGGGTTTGTTAACACCACTTCCTTTCCCCACCACCTCCCACTCTCCCATGTCCCCCCTGAACTGTCAGTCCCATTGTTTTCTCCTCCAGATTGTTCATCCAGCCTATCTTATTTATTTAGACAGATCTGCAAAGATAATAACATGCACAAAAACAAGACAGATCAAAACCAAGCAACAAAATAAAACAAAACAACAACAAGCCATTGACCAAAAAACAACAAGAAAGAAAAGCTTGTAGTTAGTTCAAGGAATGTTTGTTGACCTTTGGGAGTATTTTCTGCTCGAGTCTGATGGGGTGCCAAGCCCTGCCCCCAAAGTCTATTTTTGGTACTCCCTGGGGACTCCGTTGCTCTGTACCCCTTGCCATTCTGTTCCACGCCCTTAGTGTTTTGCCTCGGTGTGGTAGGATCAAATCGGGTGCAATTCCCACACTGTGTCTCCAGTGTTGTCCCCTGTAGGGCTATGGGTCAGTGAGGGATGTTGTGTCTCACAGTGAGGCCGGCCAGATGGTCTTCTCTGTGGATTGGCTGCTCTGAGCGGGAATATCGTCATCAAGGCTTGGTGAGCCAGGATGTGCTCCACTCTCTCTTCCTCCCCCTTCGTTTGCTCCCGTGTGCTCTGATCAGACATGTCCTTCTCCCTGAGCTTCAGATTCAGTGCTGTCCTCTGAAATACATTCTTCTGGGGGGCGGGGCGGGCGTACATGTAGTTGGGATTGGGGCGGGCCCCTCGCCAGGCCTTTCTTCCTAGTCTCAGCCTGGAAGCACCACTGAGAGCTGCTCCACTTCATAGTAACATGCCATTTCTAGGGGCAGCTTATGAAGTGCATTGGCTGGGGATCCAACCGCAGTGGAAGGCAAGAGAATTCCACCACTGAGCCCGCACTGCCCTGTCATCCACCACCCTGTCGTCCACTCCCTGGGCCCCGTACAACATGCAAACCTACCGCCCATGGCCATGTGTCCTGGGTCCTGTATGAGATCTCTAAAGCACACTGCCCGACACTTACAGAGCGTCCGAGGCCTCTGAAACCCCTGAGAGGTGGTTCCCTGGTCCTGTTAGCTCCACCCAGAGTTGCTCTGCGGGGAATCGTATCTGTGCTTCTCGTATCTGTGCTTCTGCCTGGCTCCGCTGGCCTATCTCTCCCCTGTGAAGCAGACTTGCAGAGAGCCTGGAGCAAGGGTGGCAGGGAGTGGCCTGGGTTCTAGGAGGCAGGCCTCTCTGTGTGCATTAGCATCCAGCCGGATGTCTTGGGGGAACTCTTGCCTGCAGAGTGGAAGGCGCACCTCACCCAAAGAGAAGGCGTACCTGCTTCTCTGACTTCATGGTGTGAGCCCCGGCGGCCTTGTCCTGAGAACTGGAAAGCAGACCTCAGTGCAGGTCTTCGAGCCACTGTCAGTTCCCTAGGGAAAGCAGGGTCAGGAGCCAGCAGCTGGATGTCATCTCTGGTGAGAAAGCACGCTTTTGAGCCGAAAGCCATGCCCCTCACCTGCTTGTGGCCCTGCTGGCACCCATGTGCTTAGATCTTAGCTGAAGGGATTCGCTTCTCCCACAAGCTAGATGGTCGCTGATTTCAGGAGAGTCCCGGAGGGAGGAAAGAAGACTTCTCTCCTTGGATTTAAAACCTTCCTTCAGGCCCCTCGTGCCAGGATGGGTTACTAATCGCAAGGTCAGCGGTTGGAAACTACCAGCTTGCTCTGCTGGAAAAAAGATGAGGCCTTCTACTCCCATACAGAGTTGGAGGCTCAGAAGCCCACAGGGGCAGCTCCGCTCTGTCCTGTAGGGTTGCTATGAATAGGTTTTGGGGGTCGCCTGTCCCAGAATTCACGCCGTCTCCCCCTCTTCTCCCCAGGGGAAGATCCAGAGGCTCGGCGGCTGCGGACGGTGAAGAACATCGCCGACCTGCGGCAGAATTTGGAGGAGACCATGTCCAGTTTACGGGGAACTCAGGTTACACACAGGTGACTGACTACCTACACCGTGATGTCCTTACCCGACCAGCTGGTCACCTGGCTGGCCAATGCTTCTCGTGGGTGGGCTCGCTGCTAGCAAGAGGACTTCGTTGCTAACGGAAGTGATAGCTTTGGTTCCCACAGAGGCTCTTGAGGCCTGCCTGCAGGGACTCTAGGGAGCAGACATGCATGTGGACAGAGTACACACACACACACACACAGTAGACACAGGGCCCTGTACACCTCCCTCAGACATCTCCTGATGACGGGTAGTTTCCCATGTCTCATGCTGTTGAAACAAGCAGGTGAACTAAATTTGACCTGCAGGATGAAATGAATTACTTGAATTCTTACCCCGTCTTCTGATACCCAACACCCAGGAATACTGTCAGTCACGCACATGCAGCAAACATGCAAGAAAGATTGAGGAACGTGTGTGATGATAATTGAAAAAGGACTTTTGTTTGGAGCAGAATCTCGGATTGCACTGGACCCTTTGATCGGGTGGCTTTCTCTGCTGAGCAGGAAGCGTAGGAGTCTTGGCCCTGGTTCTGCTGGGGTTTTGGCAGGCTGACAGTTTACAGGTTGCACTTGGCTTTGATAATCAACAAAAAGTTGGAATCCCTCCCCCGAGCTCCCAGAGCCCCTTGGTTTCTCTGATTTGCATTTCTGTGATAAATGATGATAGTGGGGAAACCCGGGGACGTCTCTTCCCCCAGCTGGGCAGAATCCGGGTTAAGCATGGTGGGCTCTCTCTCTGGATAGAACCGGTTTGAAACCGAGGGTCCTCTGTGGAGGACAACAAGGCAGCTCGCAGGATTGGAGGGAGACAAGCGGCTTGAAGCACCCAGCTGCCTCTTCCAAGCAAGAGTGGCTGGGGTTTGTGGGTCCGGCCAGCAGCTTCTAAACCTTGAGGTCACTCGTGGGTGTTACAAGCTGCTGCAAAACTGCCGTCTTTCCACCTCCATGACAGAAACAGGCTCACTGCTCTGGCTGATCTCTTGGCTTGCTCCTGCCCCTGGGTGGGTTGGGCCGGCCGGCTGGCTTCTCCTGCAGGGGTGGGTCTCCCTCCCTCTCTGCTCAGCCCGGGAACCCTGACGTGGTTCTCAGAGGTGTCGGTGGTCTTGTGGACTGGAGCTCCTGCTCGGTTTACCATGGCTCTCAAATCCAGACACTCACCAGTGGGTGTAGAGCAGTGGTTCTCAACTGCCGCCACCCTTTAATACAGTTCCTCGCGTTGTGGTGACCCCCAACCATAAAATTATTTTCATTGCTACTTCATCACTATCATTTTGCTACTGTTATGCATCTGGCGACCCCTGTGAAAAGGTCTTTTGACCCCCAAAGGGGTCACAACCCACAGGTTGAGAACCGCTGGTGTAGCCTTTGTGCACCCAAAGATAAGTTGTCCTTTTGAACATCAAAAGTCTGGGAGGAATGAACTAGATGTCAGCACGTGAGAACACGGCTTCTCAAAATGGGAGGCAAAGGGGTGAGGATGTGGGGTGTGGAGCCAGGACGACCTGCCTTTAGGGAAGGAGAAGTGGCAGGTGACAAATTTAACCCCATCGGTATCAGTTCCACAGTTCTACTTGCTCTCCTGGGTTGAAAATAGCAGAGCATCTCTGTAAGGTCAGCGATGGCGGGAATTGCATGCCATGTCTTAGGCAGGGGAAATGTCTCTGTTGGGCCTGCAGAGAGCCCTGGCAGCATAGTGGTCTACACATCGAGCCGCTAACCACAAGGCCAGGGGTTTGAATCCACCAGTTGCTCCCTGGGAGGAAGGTGAGGCTGTCTCCTCCCGTAAAGATGTACCAGCCTCAGAAACCCAAAGGCAGTTCTACTCTGTCCTGTGGGGCCAATCTGAGTCCGAATTGATTCTGTCCGTGGGCTTTTAAGACCATGCAACCTCCCCTCTCTTTGTAGCAGGGCAAAACCTCAGTGGCATGAACGATGCCAGAGAAACCCGGGTAAGTGTCCAGTCTTGAGTCCTTGGTCACAGGGTGCTGTATGACTGCCCTGCTCCCAGTTTCCAAGGCTTGTCACCCCCATCCCCCACCCCAAAGCAGACCCTCTGTCCCTGTCAGGCAGTGACTCCCCCTCTGGTGGGCCTCGGCCGGGCTCTTTTTGAACAGAGGATACACCGGGGGCTCTTGGCTGCCTCCGCCTGTCTTGTGTGGATGTGTGGCGCCTGGTGCTCTAACCAGTGACAGACCTTAAACACGGGGACAGAGGTCTGGCAGCTAACCGGAAGCCGGTTTCTTCCCTTCTCGTAGCACATGTAGCACGTTGGAAACCACGTTCGACACCAAGGTCACCACGGAAGTCAGTGGGCGCAGCATCCTCAGTCTGACCGCCAGGCCCACCCCGCTGTCCTGGAGGCTCGGACAGTCCAGCCCCCGCCTCCAAGCAGGGGACGCCCCCTCTATGGGCAACGGCTACCCACCTCGAGCAAATGCCAGCCGCTTCATCAACACGGAGCCCGGCCGCTACGGGTACTCCGCCCCGCTGAGAAGGCAGCTGGCCACCAGGGGCAGCAGCGTCTGCCATGGGGACAGCTCGGACAAGGCGGGAGAGGAGCTGGAACTGGAGGGCGTCGGCGTGGACGCCCCTGGCTACATGAGCGACGGGGACGTGCTGAGCAAGACCCTGCGGACCGACGACATCACTAGCGGGTGAGTACATGGCCGCTGCCCTCCATGTGGCCGGGGGCACCGGCTGGTCTCCACCAGCGGCCAGGGCGACACCGGAACACGAACCGTGTCACCTCCCTGCCCTGAGGATGGCCCCTTCGCGTGGCCTGTGACCTGCTTCATACGTAGGTTCCCTCATTCCTCTCCCCTCTCCCGTCCCCTCTGTAGCCTTTGCCCCTCCCTCCCTGTTCTTCTTTCTTTCTTTCAACTCTCAAGTTTCTGCCGGCTGGAATGAATTGACTGATATTGTAACTGATCTAGTTATCTCAGGGCATCATCTTGTATTTCTAGTCTTTCATAAACCTGAAGCGCAGTGTCATGCACCTGTTATTAAAACGACACCGGACGCCATTTAAGCGGATTATTTAGGAGGCTGGCGATATCCAGCATGCCTCAAGGGGGTCGTTATCAACTGCCATTGGACTGTGCTACCCCAAAGCCATGCGTGTCTGGGAGGTTTCTGTCTCCTGTATTACAGAATGTGCTTCATGGTCAGACCCGTCTGTGAAGCATGCATGCCAATGGATTTCTTTGGATGTAGTATTAGCAGCTCCCACAAGGTGGCGACCTTAACACACTCTAACCTGCAGGTTAGGGCTGTCAAGGTGAGAAATGCCTTTCAATATTGGAAGGGGGCCTTCAGCCAGGCTTCACCTGTGAGTGTTTACATTGCAGTGGGAGCTTTGGGAGCTTCTTTTTTTTTTTTTTTTTAACACATGAGATAGTACGTAGAGCAAGTGTAGATAAACGGGGTGGAATGTAAGCAAACCACCCAATTGTTGAAACTGGAGACGCCTGCTCCGCCTCTGTCGCTCTTAATACAGACATCTGTCCTCAAGGTGAAGTTCCTGACTCCTGGTGGCGGGGTCTCGCGCTCAGGCTGAGCGCCGCGTCAGAGGCATATGGGCTTCACTCAGCTTTCTGCGTGCCGAGTTCTGGGCAAGTCACTTAATGTTCTAGGACATTACAATGACATGGCTGCCGGCATTGGAGGCCTAGCTCTTTATTCCCCATGACAGCATGGAACACACAAATCCCCGTTGAGGGCATTGATACAGTGGGAAGCAAGCTAGTTGGTTTATCCCACAGGCCAGGCTTGCTGCTCGCTAGCTGTGTGCGCCTGCTGTTACGTACCACCAGCTCGGTTTCAGCAGAGCCGCCAGCTGCCCTCTAGCAGAACAGTGCGGCTGCCTGCTCCCGTGGAGATTCGCAGTCTTAGACACCCTCTCCAGGGTCACCGTGAGGCCAAGCCACTCAATGGCAGTGGGTTTGAGGTGTGCCCTGAGCTTAGATTGCCTTTCCCAGCCTTACCTGCTGGACACCTCCTCTCTGAAGCCTTCCTTGGTTCCATCCAAGTCCAGCCAGTGACGGCTTCCTTGGGCTCCCAGGATACTCAGTGTCCACTCTGTAGTGGCATTGACCTCACAAGGATGCTTGGTGGCCTGTGGCACCTTCCGCCTTACCCTTCTCCGTGCCTAATCTCTTGGCACAGTACCCAGGACAGAGCGGGTTCAGGCTTCCCCAGCATGTGGGAGAGGGGTGGGGGCAGCAACGCCCCTGCCTGTAAGTCTCTTAGCATCTGTCCGTATCGGGGTGAAGACTTACTGTATATACTCAAGTATAAGGCAACCCAAATATCAGCCGAGGCACCTAATTTTACCACAAAAACTGCATAAAAGTGCTGGAAAAACTCGGCTTATACACTAGTATATATGGTACGTAGTTGCACAGAAAATGTCATTCAGGGCTAACAAACTGGTATGCGCCATTTCCTTGGGAATGCGTGAGACCTCATGAAGGCCAGGGTCTTAGGGAGTTTTCAGCAGGGTGGGGACCTGCCCTAGACCTGAGGCCTAAGGACACTCAGATCCCATTTCCTGCTCATAGTTAGAACAAACAAAAAGTGTATAATCACACCTGATATTTCCAGTGGGCGTCACTCAGCCACCAGGTGCCCTGATGGTGTAGTGGGTTGCTGTCGGGCTGTTCACCATGAGGTCGGCAGTTCGAATCCACCAGCTGCCCCATGGGTGGAAGATGAGGCTCTCTGCTCCCATAAAAACTGACCATCTCAGAAACCCACCGGGGAAGTTCCACCCTGTCTCCTAGAGACCCCGTGAGTCGGAATGGGCTTCGCGGCTGTGAGGTTTTGTTTTCACTTGGCCACTTAAGGGGGTCTTCCTTCTCTAGGTTGGTTGTTCTGTGCATGGCACTGCCTGTTGTCAGGGGGGAATGGTGCCTCCCTCCCATACTGCGTCTGGGAGCCCAAGCTCTGTGCCCTGACGGCGGTCTGGTGGCACGGTAGTTAAGTGCTTAGCTGCTAACTGAAACGTCGGTGGCGTGAACCCACCCAAAGAGCTGAGTCTGGAAAGCTCTGCGCGCCTCCCAGGGATGTGTCCCAGCGCTCAGCTGTTCTTTCTCAGCGGGAGGCGGGCCTCCCCTTTCCACCTCTTGGATGGTCCCCTCTCAGACGGCCCATCTTTAGCCTGGCAGGATGACAAAATGGACCGGTCACCTGCTAGGGTTTTGTATGACATCCCTGCACACCTTATTTGTAGGACGTCCCTGGGCACCTTATTTGCTCGGTAGCCATTCCATTCCCCAGCACACTATTACGTACTTCTGTCCACCGCTGGGCGGGAGGTACAGAGCCCTGCTGAGAAAGCCCATAGAAAGATGACCCGCGGTACCACTGGGCATGTCCCTTGTCTGCATGATTGCTGCCTACCCCGACTCAGCTTTGTAGCGAGGGGATTCACGTTCTGGCCTGTGGCTGTCTATATGTCTGTGAGACCCTGGGATCTGCCACTGGCCTGCCTTGGCATCTCTTAAGTGTCTACTCTGGTCTGGTGGCATCTGCACACTGGCCTCCTTGCCGAGCCACCTCCCTCGTCACCCATTGGCCTCCTGTCTGCCAACGAAACTTCTATCCATGCCACAAGGGGACCAGAGGGGCTCAGGCAGTAACCCGTGGGATCTCCAGCAGCCACTCCTGCAGCTGTGGTGGTGCCCTGACTTGACCGTGAAGCCTTTTGCTGAATTCCCAAAAGGGAGAGCAGGTGCAAACCCCTCGGCTATGCCTGACCTCCTCTGGCTCCCTCTTCCTTCCCAACACCCTTAGGCCTGGGAAGAGGTGGGCTTTCTGCTCAGGCCTCCTTCCTCAGCTCCCCTGCCCACCTTCAGGCTGGTAAGAGGGCTCCCCACTGCCCTGGGGGAAGAGGAAGATGCTCTGAGTGGGCTGCGTCCTCGAGGTGACTAGAAGCCAGAGGGAAGGAGCAGACGAGCAAAGGCCTGCTTGTTCTCAGTTGGGCTTTTCAGTGTGGTCATTGTTCTGCTGTGAAACCTTTTTTTTTTTTTTTCCTTTTTCCCAATTACAAAAGCTAAATAGGAACCCCTTTTGTTTGAGTCAAGAAGCCCTGGTGGTATAATGGGCTATGCGCTGAGCTGCTAGCCACAAGGTCAGTAGTTCAGATCCACCAGCTGAAAACACCCCCCACCACCACCACCACCCCCACACACACACACCACCACCCCCCTCCGTGGGTGAAAGATGAGGCTGTCTACTCTGTGACGACTCAAACTCTTGGAAACGCGGAGTCCGCCCACTCGCTGCAGGTGCTGTCTACCCCCCTGTGGGCGTGTTCTGTGCGTCAACCTCCACTCCGTGGCAGTGAGTCCGGGTGGTGGTGCCGCTTTTGTTCGGGAGTGTTCTGAGCAGCAAGTGGGCTTGGCATGGGCCACACTGAAGGAGGAGCAGCTCAGGGTATGAGGGGCCGTCTGCCGTTGGGGGGACGAGGGTGGAAGGCGGAGATGCCCCCTCCTCGGGGAGGCAAGGGGACAAAGGTGGGAGGTGCGCTTTGTAAGTCAACGAAGAGAGTTTGGGGAGCAGGAGGACTCTCTGTCTGGGGAATGTTGCCTGCGGGCTTCCAGGGCCAGACCTGGAGAGACCCTGCCCGGCTGTTGTTCCTGGCAAACTGATGATAGGAGAGGAATCCGAGAGTCTCTGAGCTGAAATGCGCTTCGGGGCCAAGATAAATTATTTTAGTTGAGGCTGCCTGGAGAGGCCTGGGCCATGGCAGGTCCCCACAGGGCACAGAAGGCACCTCGGGGTCTGAAGAGGAAAGCCTATTTCTCAGGGTTGATCCAGGGGACAGGCTTTTGCTTGGGGGACGCGCGGGGGTCCCAGGAGATGTGGAAGTCCAGGTTACGAGTTGGCCACCGTGGGCTGAGGCAGAGAGAACCACCTTGGAAAGGAAGAAACGGGTGACCTGTGGGCCTTGGCTCTGTCCCTGGCCTCCAGTGCACTCTGGTGGCTGTTAGCTGCTATGGAACTGGCCCCGGCTAGTCCAGCAGAATGAGCCACGCCCGGTTCTGCCTTGTCCCCAGGACCAGTGAAGGTCAAACCTGTGACCCACAGGGCTCCCAAGGGCTTTGGACTAGCTTCACCGGGTCTTTTTTCCTAGTCCCCTTCGTCTGAAAGCTCTGCCGAGACCTGTTCCTCAACCTGCTCAGCCTGCAGGCCTCTGTTGGCAGGTACACTGGCTGAAGTCCCACTCCAGTCTCCCAGGGTGGAAGAGAATCCCATGCCCCACTAACACCCTGCTCTGGATGCACCACGCTCACATGTTACACATCCCACTGAGGCTCCAAGGTGGTGTGAGAGGCCAGGGGAGCCCGAAGGTTAGTGCTAGAGTGGGCCATATCCCCGCCTTGGGGTTTTCCCACTGCCCTGCTCCCTCACCAACGGGTCTTCAGAAACCATACCTCCTTTCCTCACCTGACGTTCCCCAGGTGTTATGTATCCCTGGCACACTCACTGGCCGGCTTTCATTAGCTCTCGGATAGAGGCGGCAGGTACAGAGCTGGGCAGGGCCAGTTCGGTGTCCCCAAGTGTTGCAGGAGTGACAGCATTCTGCTGGGGGGGGTAGGGGGGGTGTCCTGGTTGATGGATGGCTCTGGCGACCAATCTCAGTGGTCCCTGA